TCACCTCACCTCGATGCCGATCTTAAGGATTCCCTCTGTTTCTGAGGGCCTATCCCTAAGATTGTCCTCGCTTTCTGCTCGCCCATCTTAGGGATAGGGATACGTTCGAGGCTTGCTAGCACAGGATGAGCACCTCACAGAATCTGCCCCGCCAGTGTGGACGGTCGTCTGTAGACCGCGCGCTGGTGCCCGGGCCGCCGCTCACGCCGCCTACGGTGCCCGCGCAGTCCACGTACAAGTCGACTGGTGCGATGGCGACCAGGGGGAGGGCCATGCTTACGGCAGAATCTTCCCCGCCCCGCGCTGTCTGGGGTGTCGCCTCGCTGAGTGGGACCACCCCGTATACTGCCGCGATCATGTTGCCCAGCCCGTCCACCCGGGCCAACGACCACCCCCACGTCTGGACAGACCCGGAAGGCAGACCCGGCACGGTTGGGGAGAGTGCTGAGCCGTCGCTGCAAGTGCGCCCTCGCAGAAGGCCGCCGCTGGGCCGGTGGATCCACCTGTACTTTGAAGGGCACGTCCAGAGAGTCGACGAGCGCACTCGGGCCAGCTGCTCATCCCTGGCCTTGCCCCAGGTTCGCACCGCGAGGAGGAGGAGGGGGAGGAGGAGGAGGAGGAGGAGCAGGAGGAGAGGAGGAGGAGGAGGAGGAGGAGGAGGAGAGGAGGAGAGAGGAGGAGGAGGAGGAGAGAGGAGGAGGATGAGGGGAGGAGATGAGGAGGAGGAGGAAGAGGAGGAGGAGGAGGACCCCCGCGGGCTGCGCTCGGGGCCTCCGGCGACAGGCATTGCCGACGGCGGGGCTCGCGAGGGGGGCGGTCGCAGGCACCCCCCTCGCAAGCTGCACCGCCACGGTGCGAGTCCACGGGTCCGTGAGCCGCGAGTCGCGCCGGGTCCCCACAGGGTTGTGGCCCACGGCCGATCCCAGGGCACGGACGCGACGAGGGGAACAAAACGTCACACGAGCATAAAAACTCGGAGGTCCGTGCGGATTTCTCGGATCGGCGCTGGACCCCCCTTCCCTGGCGCGCGGAGCGCGCCAGGGGCGGCGCCGGAGGCGCCGCCGGGGGCCCCAGCGCCGATCCGAGGAATCCGCTCGGACCTCCGAGTTTTTATGTTTGTGTAATTTTTTGTTCCCCTATTTAGTTCTCTCTGGAGGGGCCTGCTGGCGCCGGAGCGCGACAGGGGCGGCGCCGGAGGCGCCGCGGGGGGGCCCCAGTGCCGATCCGAGACCCAGCCCCAGCACGGACGTGACGCCAGAGGCCCCTCCGAAGTTCTGCCGGCTCGTCGTCGGAGGAGGTTGTTTCCGGGAGCGGGGGTGCGGGGGCGTCGTCCAGCGCGTCTGGCACGCTCCCGCCCTCCCTGCGGTTGTCTCGCGCCCTGAGAAATAGAGAGAGAAAGAGAGAGAGAGAGAGAGAGAGAGAGCGAGAGAGTGAGAAGGGGGGGACTATCCGCCCATCCATCCATTCATCCATCCATCCATCCATCCATCCATCCATCCATCCATCCGTCCATCCGTTCATCCGTCCATCCGTCCATCCGTCCATCCCTCCATCCGTCCATCCGTCCATCCGTCCATCCTTCAGTCCTTCCTTCTCAACCGCCTTCGCTCGTACTCCCGCCCACCCTTCTCATGATTCCTCCTCCGTCGGGTTTGAGGTATGCCTGTCCAGGCTTGTCATGACCTCGCAGACAGGCAGCTTGCACTCCTATCGAGGCTCACACTTGCCTTCCCCCCCCTCGGCACACCGCAGCGCCCCAGGACGCCGCGTTCTGGCCCGCGGCGCCGATCCCAGCAAGCTGCGTGGTCCCGCCGGGAGGAAGCTGAGGAACGAGGGGGAGGAGGACAATGAGGAAGGGGGAAGGAGGAGGAGGAGGAGGAAGGGAGGCGAGAAGGGAAGAGGAGGAGAAGGGAACGAAGATCACGCGGGAGAAGGAGGGAGAAGGAGTAAGAGGAGGCGGAAACGAGGGAAGAGATTTTTTGGGGGAGGAATGAGGGGGAGTACGGGAGGGAGGAGGGGGTGAATGAGTGAGAGGGATGATTGAGTGAGAGGGCGAGAACGTGATGAGGGAGGACTGAGGAGGGTGCGAAGCAGAAGAAATGGGAGGAGGAGGAGGAGGAGGAGGAGGAGGAGAAGGAGAAGGAAGAGCAGGAGGAGGCAGAAGAGGAGGCGGGGGAGCATGAGTAGAGCATGAGTCGGAAAACCAACAGGAAGAGAGAGAGAGAGAGGGGGGGGAAACGCACGGACCAGGCAGGGGGAAGGGGGAGCGCGGCGCGGCCCCGCGGGGCGTGCGCCGCGGTCGAGGCGCCGAGGCGGGAGGAGAGCGGCAGGGGGAGGGGCGCGGGGCGGGGTCGGGGGACCTGTGCGTGGCGGATCCCCTGGCTGCTGCCGTGCCGCCCCCTCCTCTCCCTCCTGCGTGCTGGCCGTGCGTGCAACATATATATATATATATATATATATATATATACAAGTGGCACGTGTGTGCCCAGGCTCATACAACAAGCTGAAGGGGCGTTTGAAGCAGGAGTGACATGCAACAGCGAAGTCGCACTCGAGCGCAAGTGGGGTTGCCACACCTTGCGATGTGTGTACCAGGGCCCCCCAGGAAGCCTCAGGAGGCCCGACTTGGATACCAGAAGAGGCTCCAGGAGGCCCCAGGATTGTGAGTGTGTGTGTGTGTGTGTGTGTGTGTGTGTCTGTGATGTGTGCTTTGTGTGGTGCGTGCTTTTTGTGTGTTGTCGGTGTTGTGTGTGTGTGTGTATGTTATGTTTGTCTAGCGTGTGATGTGTTGGGCGTGATTTGTGTCTCTGTGTGTGCATGTAGTTCTGAAGCCCCAGGAGGCCCCAGGCGGCCTCAGCAGGCCCAGGAGAACTCCAGGAGGCTCCGAGGCGGGGTCTGGGGTACCAGAAGGTCCAGGAGGCCCCAAGAGGCCCCAGGAGGTTCCAGGAGGCCCCCAGGAGGCTCCGAGGAGGGGTTTGGGGCTCGATTTTGGGAGGATGTCTCAGGCGAAACCGCCATTCTCTGAGAATCGGGGTCAAAATGATTGAAATTACCATGTGTTTTTTGAAGGTTTTATATTAAAATGTTGAAATTCCCATGTGTTTTTGGACCCTGACGTCACGATCTGCGTGAGAGGTGCCACCGATTTTCAGAATTTCGAGGATGTCCCGAGCGAAACGGCCAGAAAAATCGCGAACGACGTGCGCATTAATCGCCTCTGAGCTCTACTCCCTCGGAGAGGTGCGTATGAGAATATATAGATATATACACATAGGTGTGTGTGTGTGTGTGTGCTTTGGACTTTTGTATTATGCCCAACGCATGGCCTCTGCCATTCGGAGCGTCTATCTTCGGCTTCCGTGGCGAGCATGTGGGGCGAGGCCCGTGGCGGAGCCCCTGGCCGCCCCTTGGTATGTTAGTATGCATATGTTGTGGATTGCGTGGGGTTCATTTACAGGGGTGGGCAATGTGGGCAGTTGCCCTCCTCGTCCTCCTCCTCCTTTCCTCCTCCTCCTTCTCCTCCTCCTTCTCCTCCTCCCATCTTAGGCCCCACGGCCAGTGTTCGCAGCGGGTCAGGGATCATTTTTCTCAAAGGTGTAAGGTCGACTAAGCCGAATGTTTTAACCACGAATTAGTATGCGAATCCTAAGACTGATGTTAGCCAGCGCGGACCCCAACCAGTGCGGTATTGCTCGATGTAGGTGCGTGTTATGCGGTGTAAGTTGTGTGGTAAAATCTATGCCGTGTATGCTATGCGCTGTGAGCTCTGGATGTGGTAACTACGCGGTGCAAGCTCTGCTGCGCAAGCTGAGCTGTGTAAGCTATGCGGTGCGAGCTGGAGGTGGAAGCTGCGGGTGCACACTATGTGCTGTAAGCTATGCGGTGCAGGCTGTGTGGTGCAAGCTGTGTGGTGAAAGCTACGTCGTGTAAGCTCAGAGCACGGGGCGCCCACGAGGTGGCTCCGAGGCGGCAATGCGGCGCAACCTCGGCGAAACCCACCCAACGCACAGGGCGTCCACGAGGCGCCCACGAGGCGCCCACGAGGCTGCACGGGGCGGCAATGTGGCGAAAACCCGGCGGATCCATCAAACTACTGAACAACACAAATAAGGACGCCCAAGTGCAAACATTTATTTTGGGGAATACTGAGCCCCGCTAGATCTCAATTTGAGGTTTTCTTTCTCCCAAGGCAGTTGGAAGAATTTCCGAGCAATGCAAATCAATTCAATGTTCGGCATTCCTTGGTAGTGCTTGGAATCGCTTGGCGTTGCTTGGCACTGCTTGGTATTGCGTGTCATTGCTTGGCAGTTTTTGTTGCATTGCTTGGCATGGCTTGGCATGGCTTCGCATTGGCGTTGGACTGCTTGGCATTGCTTGGCATTGGTAGGGATCGTTGCTTGGCATTGCCAGTCATGCTTGGCATTGCCAATCATGCTTGGCATTGCTTGGCATGTCTTTGCATGGGAGTGCTTGGTATTGCTTGGCGTTGCTTGGTATTGCTTTGCATTGCTTGGTATTGCTTGGCGTTGCCGGGCATCGTTTTGCATCGCTTGGCATTGTTTGGCAATGTTGGGCGTTGCTTGGCATTGATTGGAATCGCTGCTTGGCAATAGCTGGCATGCTTGGCATGGCTTGGCATGTCTTCGCATTGTATGGCATTGCTTGGCATTGCTTATCGTTGCTTGGCAGCTTGGCATTGCGTCGTGTTACTTGGAGTCGCTTGGCATTGCTGGGCATTGCTTGGCATTGCCTTGCGTCGTTTTGCCTTGCTGGGCGTTGCTTGGAACTGCTTGGCACTGCACATGCAGCCCCAGGCAACGCAGGGGGAGAAGATCCCCGCACCCGCTTGTTTCTTTCACAAGCAAATGAGCACCCCTTGTGCCCTTGGGCAAAGTCTCAGTTGGGACGAAGACTAATGATCATACGAACAAGAAGACGAGGAATAGACAGAGGGCGGGCACCGAGGGACTTGAGCACACGTGTTTAGCGACCCGGGCGCAAGTGCTCGCACGCGCTTTCAGAACATGATGTGTTGCTACTGTTTTTTTTGTTCCGGAGGCCCAGAGGCGCAGTGTGTGCCACACAAGGCCAGGCTTCGGCCATAGAGGACAGGGTCCGAGCGTCGCGGGGCACAGCACGCACCGTGTGACACCCTCCTTCAGCCACGCACCCACAGATGGTGTAGCCCCTTTACTGTGATGCTATGCTTGGTTATGTTGCATCTTCGGGGGACCTCGCCTGTCCCAAAAATTGGTGTCTTTTTGGGGGCCCGACGCGTGCTCGATGCGGACTCGACGCGGATTCGGCGTGGATTCGACGCGGATTCAACACGGATTCGACACGGATCCGAAGCGTCCGACATGGATTCGACACGGATTCGACGCGGACAGGGCCGCGACGGGACATACAAGGTCCCCTGAGGATGCAACATAAGCTTGGCACGGGCTGCAATCCCGAGGTCCTCGCCGAGCCGCGCATGGACAGCTGCGAGATGCTGCTCGGGCGCAGCCTCTGCGGCCGCTTCCACGCCGATCCGGCGCAGACGGCCGCGGTGGCGGGCGCGGCCGCGCGTCTGCGCGCACGCATCGTGCAGGAGACGTGGGGATCCCCCTCCTCCTCCTCCTCCTCCTCCTCCTCCCCTCCTCCTCCCCCTCCTCCTCCCCCCCTCCTCCTCCTCCTCCTCCTCCTCCTCCCCTCCTCCTCCTCCCTCCTCCCCCTCCTCCTCCTCCTCCTCCTCCTCCTCCTCCTCCTCCTCCTCCTACTCCTCCTCCTCCTCCAGCTGTGGCCGAGTGTGCGCGGATGGCTGGGAGGGACGCGGGGGGGGGAGGCTGCGGAGGGCCAGAGCAAACCGGACGCGTGAACGGTGTCGTAGCGCACCTTCCAGCAAGGATGCCCTTTCCCAGGCGGGGGAGCCCCTCCCCGAGACACGGAATCCCCACGAGCCCGCCGTTCGAGCGAGCCCTGCGCGGAAGAGGAACCGCTCCACCATGCTTCTGGCCACGGGAGGTGCCGCTGGCACGGCGGGGGCCCCGCTTGGAAAAAGAAGCGCCCTCCTTCCATGCATCTGTTGCGCACTCTCACATCGGAGGCCTAGAGGTTGACACCAACACCAATATCGGCGGCGTGCTTCCACCGAGGGAAGATGATCCCGATCCAGGTGATGGTGGTAATATTCGGGCTTTCTAGGTGGCCGAAAGATTACCACCAACACCAAAATCCAGGATCATCTTCCTCCCGTGGAGGCAACCCCTGGTGTTGGTGTTGGTGCCAATTTCCAAGCTTCCGATCACAGTCGTGTCACAGAAGCGTGTGGACGTGAAAAAGGTGCGAGCCGCAGGCGTGAAGAAGGATCCGCCCTGCGCCCGTGCAGCGGTTGCGCGCAGCTGCACGATCGGAAACTTCGAGGCGCAAGCGCGAAGGAAGTCTCGAGCGAGAGCCTTAGGCATCTCCTCCTCCTCCTCCTCCTCCTCCTCGTCCTCCTCCTCCTCCTCCTCTTCCTCCTCCTCCTCCTCCTCCTCCTCAGGCTGACGAGGCGCCGCCCTCCATCTTTGCATCTGCCTGAAACACGAGCTGACGCGTCGCGTGCCCCCACCAGCCCACCCAGAAACGCTGCCCGTGAGAGTTGATTTGATGAGGAGGTCGAAGAAAGGGAGCGGGAGGAGGAGGAGGAGGAGGCGAAGGAGGAGGAGGACCAGTGCACACCTAAGACGCATCAGCGATGTTGCATTCAACCCTCCCTACAAGTTCCCTCTTCACAGCTCTCTACAAGCATTTATGCTCATTGCAGGGAGTGCTCCTTTGGAAGACAGCCGTCCGAGAATCCCCAACCGTGCCAAAATACCATTCCTTAGACTTCAACGCCGCAAAGCAACTCGACTGTTACGTCCTGACCAACCTGAATCGTGCCAGAGCCCCATTCTTGGGACCTTAACACAGCGAGTGAACGTGACGGTTGCGTCCTGACAATCAAGAAATGTGCCAGAACGCTTTTCTTCGGAGTTCAACCGTACGAGCTGTTTAACCGGTTGCAAACATTTTACAACGAATGTGCGTGGCGGCAAGGCGGGAGCCACATTTTGAAGAGGAGCCACCCTGTATCCTTGAAGCTGTTGCAAACTTTGCGGCGCTCGGGCGATGACCACAGTTCGAAAATGGCCCGCCATCCATCCGTGAAATTGCTGCAAACTTGTAAGACGACCGCACGCGGCGCAAAGGCGGGAACCACATATTGAAGACGACCGCAATCCATCCGTGAAGCTGTTGCAAACATTTAAGACGAATGGGCGCGGCGCTCAGGCGAGGATCACACCTTGAAAACGGCCAGAACTCTATGCGTGAAGCTTTGCACACTTTCCGTTCGAGGAACATAAGTGGTGAGAAGGTCTCAGGCGAAACGCCCAGTCAGCCCTACCGACACGTCTCGGGGTGCGACTGGGAGGAGCTCTTTACAAGGAAGAGGGGTGGACGAGGAAGAGGAGGAGGAGGAGAAGAAGCGGGAGGAAGAGGAGGAGGAGGAGGGCAGGAGGAGGAAGAGTACCAGGAGGAGGAGGAGGAGGAGGAGGAGGAGGAGGAGGAAGAAGAGGAGGAGGAGGAAGAGGAGGAGGAAGTAAGGTGGAGGAGGTGCAGGCGGAGGAGGAGGAGGAGGTGGCGGTGGAGGAGGGGGAGGGGGTGGGCGGAGGACCGAGGAAACGCAAACATGGAAGACGGCACATCCATTAGCGTCGGGTCCTGTTTCCATGCAACATCGGCGCGCTCCGTTGCCAAATCAGAGGGCACTGGCTTCATGCTTCTCGGGCTACTTTCCCCGATCCGTGGATCTGGCGCCCATGCACCAGTTCCACGGATCTGTAATCCATGTTAGCGTGCGCCAGGGAGGGAGGAGAGAGGAGAGAGGAGGGAGGAGAGAAGAGGAAGGAGGGAAGGGAGGGAGAAGGGAGAGGAGGCGGGAGGAGCGAGGAGGGAAGGAGGAGGTGGGAGGAGGAAAGAAGGAGGAGGAGGAGGAAGGAGGGGGGGGATGGAGGAAGAGTACCAGTAGAAGGAGGAGGAGGAGGAGGAGGAGAGGAGGAGGGAGGAGGAGGAGGAGGCCGGAGAGGAGGCGGAGGAGGAGAGGAGAGGAGGAGGCGGAGGAGGCGGAGAGAGGAGAGGGAAGGAGGAGGAAGGGAGGAGGAGGGAGGAGGGTGAAGGGGGAGGAGGAGAGGAGAGGGCGCCGAGGAGGAGGAGGGAGGGAGGGGGACAGAGCAGACCAGGCAGGGACCGCTCCTGGCCGCTCGCTGCCCCCGGGGGCGCCGCGGACGCGCCGCCCCCCCCCCGCAGGACGAGGAGCGCACGGGCCGCCTGCGCCGCTGGGCCGCCGCGGTGCCCTGGGCCCCGTGGCCATGACCCCGGGGCGCGCCCGCGGGACGCCGCGAGGGGCGCGGCGGGCCCTCGGAGGCGGAAAAAACCAGGCCGCTGCCCCCTCTCTCCTCCTCCTCCTCCTCCCTCCTCCTCCTCCTCCTCCTCCTCCTCCTCCTACTCCTCCTCCTCTCCTTCCTCCTCTCCTCCTCCTCCTCCTCTTCCTCCTCCCCCTCCTCCTCCTCCTCTCCTCCTCCTCCTCCTCCTCCTCCTCCTCCTCCTCCTCCTCCTCCTCCTCCTCCTCCTCCTCCTCCTCCTCCTCCTCCTCCTCCTCCTCGTCGCTCGTGCTCCCCTGCTCGCTCGGGCCTCTCTGGGGCGGCCCCTCGCCGCCACCGGGCGGAGTCGCTCTTCGACGAGAGCAGGCCTGGTCGCGGAGCGCACCTCGGGAGAGGTCCCTGCCTCCCCTGGGCGGAGCGGGGCGCTCCGTCGAAGAGAGGGTCCCCTCTTGCGCGGAGGGGCTCGCACCGCCGGAGGCGCGGCCTCTCGAGAACATTGGCGGCATCGTCGTCGCCGCCGCCGTCGTCGCCACCGCCGTCGGCATCATTGCCGCCGCCGTCGTCGCCGCCGTCGTAGCCGTCGCCGCCGCCGTCGCCGCCGCCGCCGTCGTCGCCGCCGCCGTCGCCCCCCCTCTGCTCCGCTCCTCGTGCATCGTCGTCCGCCTTCGCGTCCCTCCCCCTCCCGTCCCAGGATGTCCCAGGAGGCCGCGACTGGCGCGGCCGCGGGGCGGGTCGAGTGGCGTTGCGCCTGCGGCGTCGCACAGATCGACGACGACGACGGAGGACGACGAGGAGCAACAGCAGCGCCAGCTGCGGCTTTACCTCTCTACGCTTTGATCTGACGACGGCCCGCGAACCTTCTCTGCACGCTCGCGCTCGCTGTCGTCCCGCTTCGGATGCTGCGCCCCGTCGTCCTCGTCGCCCTCCTCCTCCTCCTCCTCCTCCTCCTTCTCCTCCTCCTCCTCCTCCTCCTCCTCCTCTTTCTTGTCGTCCTCCTTCTCCATTCCTTTTCATTACTAGCCGGCCGCTCTGCGTATGATCGGGAGTTTCTGTGTATAGAAGGGGCGTGCGTTTGAGGGCGAGAGGAGAATGAGCGGGAGGCGGTGGCATCCAGCCCCTCCCGCTCCCAAGCTGGCAACTTCCACCTTCTCCTCCACATCCTCCCAGGAAATCTGGTGAGGTCCCTGGAGGTCGTTCCTCCTCCGCCTCCTCCTCCACCTCCTCTTGGGTTCCCTTCGGCGATCATCTGCTAACATTGGCACGATACAGAGAAGATGAGCATGGCGCAAGGATGACACGCACACATCGAGAAGTGTATGCAATGTTTCTGGGCACGCTCGACCTCCACCTCCTCCAACTCTCCTCCTCCTCCTCCCCCTCCTCCTCCTCCTCCTCCTCCTCCTCCTCCTCCTCCTCCTCCTCCTCCTCCTCCTCCTCCTCCTCCTCCCCTCCTTCGTCCTCCTACGTCTTCCTCCCTGCTCACCCGGGGGGCGATTCGGCGACTCTGCGATGGTGTCTCAAGCGGGATCCCCAGATTGAGACACGCGTCGCCTTCTGCGAGGCTGTCTCGAGCGAGAGCCCCAGGCTGGGACACGCCTGGTGCGCGCCCCACGAGCGCGCCCCGGCGCGCGCCGACAGAAGTGGTCCCGAGGGGCGCGGCGGGGCCTGGCCTCATCGCGCGCGCCGGGGGCCGGCTCTGGGAGGAGGTCTCGAGCGAGGGAGAGCCCCGGACTGACTGGGACACGCCCGCGCAGTGCCTGAAGGTGCCCCACGCGAGGGCGCCAGTTTGGAAGTCGTCGCCGGATGTCCTGGATGTCCCGGAAGTGGAACCGGGGCCCTCTGAGGGCCTCCTCTGGGAGGCTTGAGGGGGAGCGGCTTTCTGAGGACGTCCCAGCGCGAGGGCGCCGGTTCGAAATTCGTCGCCGGGTTTCCCGGATGTCCCAGAAACAGTTAACATGGGGGGCGGTTGGCGGGCCCAGGTCCTGCGCGCGCCGGGGGTCAGGACGACGTGAGTTCTCAATGCAAGCTCCGTCAAATAAGTAACTCCCCCCAGTCGCACTCCAAGACATGTCGGTGGGGTAGGCCAGGCGTTTCGCCTGAGCCTTTCTCGCTGTTTGTGATCCTGAGGCTTGAAATTTGCAACGTGTTGGCGGATGGAGGGGGTGCCGTTGTCAAAATGGTGTCCTCGCCTCAGCGCCGCGCGCATATTCGTCTCAAAGGCTTGCGGCAGCTTCACAGGTGGAGGCTGGGTCCTTTGCAAGGTGGAGCTTTCGCATTCGCGCCGCGCGCATTCGTTTGAAAAGCCTGCAGCAGCGTCAAGGATGGATCGGATACAGCCAGGACCCCAGGTAAGGGGACCCGGTTAGTGGTAGGGCCCTGGAGCTTCTAAACTAGCCAGAATCACTGAACCAGGTCTGCCGCAGCTGGTGTGTTTCGGGTGACGGCAGTTCCGGTTAGTGGAATGGGTTGGGACTGGGCGTCCCCCAGTACACATCACTAAACCAGGTCCCACTAAACTGAAGTCGGGCGTGTCCCCCTACAGGGGGATTCTCGACGAAAAATAAAAAGCACCCCCAAAATACCCCCAAATGGCAAAACAAAAATTAGAAACATAGTCCTCATACTTCTTATGTTTTGGTTTATACTAGTTTGGAGTACTTGTTTCGTATTTCTCACTTTTCGTCGAAAGTCCCTCTGTAGGGGGACAGGCCCGACCTAACCCTAAGCCCAGCTATGCCGACGCCCGGATGGCGGCCGCGGCGTTGTCCGAGGCGGAGCCCTCGCCGCAGCGCCCTGCGCGCACTCCTTTGGGCCGCCCGCCGCCCCGCCGCGGCCTGCCGCCGTCGACCGCGGCCTGCCCGCCATTGAGCCGACGGCTGCGGGCGCGGCGGAGCCTTCCCGAAGCCCTCCTCCTCCCCTCCTCTCCCCTTCCTCCTCCTCCTCCTCCCTTCCTCCGCCTCCTCCTCCCCCTCCTCCTCCTCCTCCTCCTCCTCGCCTCCTCCTCCTCCTCCTCCGCCTCCTCTCCCCCTCTCCACCTCCTCCTCCTCCTCCTCCTCCTCCTCCTCCTCCTCCTCCTCCTCCTCCTCAGTATCCTCCTACGGCGAGCTCCGATCGAAAGCTCCTCGGAGCCTCCGCGAAGCCTCTGCGGCGGGACCTCCTCGAAGCCTCTACGGCGAGCTCCCGTCCAGTTGACGTCGCTGACGTCAAGCACCTGTGGGTTCTGGCTTGGTGCACTCGCTGGTGGAGAGGTGCAGCTCGCCATCGCCTCCGCCGGCGACCTCGGCCTGGCACACAGCTTGGGAGCTGCTGCTCCTGCTTGGCCACGAGGTCCTTCTGGCCCTTAACCTCCTTGATCGCCTGCAGCTTGGACCCCTTGAGGCCCTGGCCCAGCGTCGCCACCGAAGCCATCCAACAATGACGAGCTCGACCGCGGCATCGGTGAGGCCGCGGACGACCGACAGCACCTTGGCGCCCAGCGCCCTAATCAAGAGCGAATTGGCAACGAATTCGCGCAGATTCATGGCGCTCCCGACGACATGGCTCGGGGCTGGTGAGAGGTGAGAAGCCACGGACGACCGACAGCACCTTGGCGCCCAGCGCCCCAATCAGGAGCGAATTGGCAACGATTTCGCGGAGATTCATGGCGCTCCCGACGACATGGCTCGCGGCTGCTGCGAGGGGAGCGTCTTTGAAGTGCGCTGCTCGCAAGACCCTCGACTCGGGGGTGCCAGAGTCGCTTGTGAGATAAACGACGGGTGTTGCTTTGCACTGCTTGGGATTGCGTGGCACTGTTTTGTGTTGCTTGGCATTGCTTGGCGTCGAATGGGATTGCTTGGCACTGTACGTGCAGGCTTGGGCAACCCAATGACACCCTGAGGAACGCCGAGGGCCGCCTCTGACGAAGGACCGCCTCTGACGAAGGGTCGCCTCTGACGAAGACCCCCTTCGGCACAACCTAAGTGGGGTAAATGGAATCGCCCTGCATCCGTGCAAGTCTGATGCGCAATGTTTCGTTTCTGGCGATCGGATCAGAGCAATCAATTGAACGAGGTCTCAGGCACAGTTGGACGGAGGAGAAGAAGGAGGAGGAGGACGAGGAGGAGGAGGCGGAAG